GGCGACTCTCTGGGCACCCAGACTCATATGGGGAGAAACTCGACTGTCTGGCATTGGTTGGAACTTGAGGGCGGCTTTCTCTCAAAGGTGCTTGCAGCGAATACCAGGACACTGAGACTTGGGGCCTCTTAGGGTAGGACTGAGGAGACACCAAAGCTGCTTGCTCTGCCCTGTTTATCCCCTGAGACCCCGCCCCACCCAAGCTGTGTGCAGAGGCTTTTGCATATGAATGCCCTGGCCCTTTGCAATCTGAAAATTACCTAACAAACTGCAGCTGGGTCAGAGAGACCCAGAACTTCCAAAAGAAGGCCCAAGGACCCACAGCAGTTTGCATTGCTTCACAGCTGGGCCTCATCTGGGCACCACCAAACCCCAAACAAAGAAGATGAATCTGTAGATCTCTCCATAGCTCCTGCTGGGTAGCCTCAGGCAGAGGCTAAATTAGCACCTCCTAAGAGATCCAAGAGCCAGTGTACCCAGTGGTCAGAGTGGGACCATCCAGATTACAACTCCTCAGATCCATAAGGGACACACTCAGGGGGCAGACTCCGTGAGCACCAAAGCCCCACTGAAGCAAGTCTTGCCCTAGAAGGGTGTCTCCAGCACAGAAGTTCTCCCACTGCAGACACAGCTGATTCTCACAGCCAATTGGCTTGGAGGTCAATCCCTCCCAGAAGTACCTACAACAATCAAGGCTTAACTACAACAAACTGTGCACAAAGCCCACAAAGGGGTGCACCAAGAGTGTCTACCTCAGGTAATTGGGGAGGCTGAGCCACTGGGCCCTATAGGACACCTAGCACACAAAGCCACTCTACCAACACAGGGAAGCATAAAAAATGCGGGAACAAAGAAACAGGTCACAAATGACAGAAACGGAGGAAAGCAAACTACTGGATATAGAATTCAAAACCATGGTTATAAGGTTTTTCAAGAATTTTCTAGAAACCACCGATAAATTTAGTGAGATCCTAAAGAAATCTAGTGAGACCATCGAGGTTATGAAAAAGGACCAACTAGAAATTAAGCATACACTGACTGAAATAAAGAATATTATACAGACCCCCCCAACAACAGACTAGAGGATCGCAAGAATCAAGTCAAAGATTTGAAATACGAAGAAGCAAAAAACACCCAACCGGAAAAGCAAGAAAAAAGAATCCAAAAATATGAAGATAGTGTAAGGAGCCTCTGGGACAGCTTCAAGCGTACCAACATACAAATTATAGGGGTGCCAGAAGAAGAGAGAGAGCAAGATATTGAAAACCTATTTGAAGAAATAATGACAGAAAACTTCCCCTACCTGGTGAAAGAAATAGACTTCCAAGTCCAGGAAGCGCAGAGAACCCCAAACAAAAGGAATCCAAAGAGGACCACACCAAGACAAAGCATAATTAAAATGCTAAGAGCAAAAGACGAAGAGAGAATCTTAAAAGCAGCAAGAGAAAAACAGTCAGTTACCTACAAGGGAGTACCCATACGACTGTCAGCTGATTTCTCAACAGAAACTTTGCAGGCCAGAAGGGAGTGGCAAGAAATATTCAAAGTGATGAATACCAAGAACCTACAACCAGGATTACTTTACTCAGCAAAGCTATCATTCAGAATTGAAGGTCAGATAAAGAGCTTCACAGATAAGAAAAAGCTAAAGGAGTTCATCACCACCAAACCAGTATTATATGAAATGCTGAAAAGTATCCTTTAAGAAGAGGAAGAAGAAAAAGGTAAAGATACAAATTATGAACAACAAATGCACATCTATCAACAAGTGAATCTAAAAATCAAGTGAATAAATAATCTGATGAACAGAATAAACTGGTGAATATAATAGAATCAGGGGCATAGAAAGGGAGTGGACTGACAATTCTCGGGAGGAAAAGGGGTGTGGGGGGTTCGGGAAGAGACTGGACCAAAATTGTACACCTGTGGATGAGGGCAGTGGGGGCGGGTAAGGGTGGGGTGGGAACCGGGTGGAGGGGAGCTATGGGGGGAAAAAAGAGGAACAACTGTAATAATCTGAACAATAAAGATTTGATTAAAAAAAAGGGTGTTGGGGGGAGAACCAAGATGGCGGCATAGGTTAATGCCGGAGTTTGCTGCTTTGAACAACTACTTCAAAAGTGAAACCAAAAAAACGGAAGGGACATCACCCAGAACCACAGGAACGCTGGCTGAGTGGAAGTCCTACAACTAGGAGGAAAGAGAAACGCATACGGACACTCAGAGGAGGCGCAGTGCTAAAGTCAAATTCTGAGGTGCAGAGTGCGCGAGCGGGCTGGCGGCGGAGGGCGCGGTTGGCGTTTTCAATCGGGAGGGAGTCCCAGACTCTGAGCTCCAGATACAGGCGAGTCTTTAGGGACCCAGACTCAAACGGGAGAAGCGGGACTGTCTGGCTTCCGTCAGAGCGAGTGCAGCTTTCTCTCTGAGCTTTGCAGCGGGTGCTGGGACTCAGAGAGGCAGAGCCCCTGGGGACGGGACTGAGAGCCGCCATAACTGCTCTCTCTGGCCCACCCTGTTGATCCTGTGCGACCCGCCCCGCCCAAGCCCTGCACTGAGGCTTTTGCCGGATAGCCTCAGGCAAAGGCTAGATTAGCACCTCCCTAGAGGATAGAAGTTCTCTCACTGCTGACACAGCTGATTCTCATAGCTACTTGGCCTGGAGGTCAAACCCTCCCTGGAATTAGCTACAACAATCAAGATTTTACTATAAGACTTCGAACAAAGACCACTAGGGGGTGCACCAAGGAAGCATAACAAAATGCGGAGACAAAGAAACAGGACAAAATTGTCAATGGAAGATATAGAGTTCAGAACCACACTTTTAAGGTCTCTCAAGAACTGTTTAGAAGCTGCCGATAAACTTAATGAGATCTACAAGAAAACTAATAAGACCCTCGATCTTATATTGGGGAACCAACTAGAAATTAAGCATACACGGACTGAAATAACGAATATTATACAGACTCCCGACAGCAGACCAGAGGAGCGCAAGAATCAAGTCAATGATTTGAAATGCGAGGAAGCAAAAAACACCCAACCGGAAAAGCAAAATGAAAAAAGAATCCAAAAATGCGAGGATAGTGTAAGGAGCCTCTGGGACAGCTTCAAGCGTACCAACATCAGAATTATAGGGGTGCCAGAAGATGAGAGAGAGCAAGATATTGAAAACCTATTTGAAGAAATAATGACAGAAAACTTCCCCCACCTGGTGAAAGAAATGGACTTACAGGTCCAAGAAGCGTGGAGAACCCCAAACAAAAGGAATCCAAAGAGGACCACACCAAGACACATCATAATTAAAATGCCAAGAGCAAAAGATAAAGAGAGAATCTTAAAAACAGCAAGAGAAAGAAACTCAGTTACCTACAAGGGAATACCCATACGACTGTCAGCTGATTTCTCAACAGAAACTTTGCAGGCCAGAAGGGAGTGGCAAGAAATATTCAAAGTGATGAATACCAAGAACCTACAACCAAGATTACTTTATCCAGCAAAGCTATCATTCAGAGCTGAAGGTCAGATAAAAAGCTTCACAGATAAGGAAAAGCTAAAGGAGTTCATCACCACCAAACCAGGATTATATGAAATGCTGAAAGGTATCCTTTAAGAAGAGGAAGAGGAAGTAAAAGATAAAGATACAAATTATGAACAACAAATATGCATCTATCAACAAGTGAATCTAAGAATCAAGTGAATAAATAATCTGATGAACAGAATGAACTGGTGATTATAATAGAATCAGGGACATAGAAAGGGAATGGACTGACTATTCCTGGGGGGGAAAGGGGTGTGGGAGATGCGGGAAGAGACTGGACAAAAATCGTGCACCTATGGATGAGGACAGTGGGTGGGGAGTGAGGGCGGCGGAAGGTGGGGCGGGAACTGGGAGGAGGGGAGTTATGGGGGGAAAAAAAAGAGGAACAAATGTAATAATCTGAACAATAAAGATTTAATTAAAAAAAAAAAGGGTGTTGGATTTTGTTGAATGCTTTTTCTGTATCAATTGATATGATCATGTGATTTTTGTCTTGCAATTTGTTTATGTGATGTATCACATTTATCGATTTGCAGATATATTACTGGCTTTGCATCCCTGGGATAAATCCCACTTGGTCATGGTGTATGATCTTTTTAATGTATTGCTGGATCTGATTTGCTAATATTTTGTTGAGGATTTTAGCATAAATGTTCATCCGGGATATTGCCTGTAATTCTCTTTCTTTATAGTCTCTTTATCTGGTTTTGGAATTAGGATAATGCTGGCCTCTTAGAAAGAGCTTAGACTTGTTCTTTCCTCTTGGATTTTTTGGAATAGTTTGAGGAGTATAGGTGTTAGTTCATCTTTGAATGTTTGGTAAAACTCCCCCGTGAAGCTGTCTGGACCAGGGCTTTTGTTTGCTGGAAGTTTTTAAAATTTTTTATTACTGCTTCAATTTTATAAGTAGTTATTGGCCTATTAAGGTTTTCTGATTCTTCCTGATTTTTAGAAGATTGTATTTTTCTAGGAACATGTCTATTTCATAAACAAGATTTATGAACCTCCAGCCAGACTCACCAAGAAACAGAGAGAGGACCCAAATAAACAAAATCAGAAATGAAAGAGGTGAAGTAACAACTATCCCCACATAAATACAAGGGATTATAAAAAAATACTATAAAGAACTGTATTCTAACAAATTGGACAACCTTGATGAAATGGACATATTTCTAGAAAAATACAATCTTCCAAAACTCACTGAGGAAGAGTCCATTGATTTTTAGAGAGTGTGGAAGGGAGCGGGAGACAGAAACATTGATGTGACAGAGATACATCATTTGGTTGCTTCCTGCATGCACCCTGACTGGGCCAGGGATTGAGCCTGCAACTGAGGTATGTGCCCTAGACTGGTATCGAACCTGGGACCCTTCAGTCCATGGGCCGATGCTGGTTAGGACTCTCCTTTTCTCTTGCCCTCATAGCCAATCCCGTTCACCCTATGAGAGAACTGAAGCCACACAAGGAATGTGAAACACCATTTATTTTTTGTGGAAAGGTTGAACAAGGTCAAAAATATCCTTAGAGGGCACTGACCCAGCCCCGCCCTGCAGGTTCCTGGGGTCAATGCCTCTGCCCCCCCACCCCCATCCCTCCCCATGCCCCTTGTTAACAAAAAGGAACGATTTGAAGGGAATTCATATATAATAATTATAATAAAAATATACATTAAACAAAACAAAAATCCCAAACAAGACAAATTTAGCTGAACTGCCAGCACCGTTCACCCCATTTTCCCCCAACCCCCCCAATGCCCCACCCCTGACATCCCTCTCTTTTCACTCCCAGAAGGGTCTCTCACTTTCCCAAGTCCCCAGTACCATGACCACCTTAGGTGGCTGAAGGAGACTTCAAATGGATGGGCTGGGTGGGGATGAGGGGAGGGCAGGACACAGATAGGACGGGCTGAGGGGTGGGGGCATCAGGAAGTGAGGAGGTAACCTGACCAAGAAACAAGAAATGCACAGGCACCTGCCCTCTCTGAGGCTTGCCGACTCGGTGCTGCCTGCTGCTGGGAGCTTTCTGCTCTCTAACTAGGTAGCTACTCTCATTAAGGGCCAGTTGCCAGTCCTCACATGTGCCATCTTTGCTGCTTTTTCTGAGCTCCTTCCCCTTTCCCTCTATGCTCTCTGGTCAGAGGGAAGGCACTAAGCGAGCAGGTGTGCCTTTCTTGGGCTCTTCCTCTAGCGCCAATAAAATGTGCCTTCCCCCAGGTACCAGTCCCCCCTGTGCATCCCTGATGGCCTGCTCAACCTCCAGCTGTCCACTCCTGCTGAACCTCCTTTTGGTCCCATCCTATCCCCTCTGACTGCTCTGCCCCTGGCACTTGCCCCAGCTGCCTGCATTTAAGCAAGCTTCTTTCTCTGTGGCCTTGAGGCTCACCCCCAGGGCTCCGGACTGAGTCTCTTCCTATAGAGACTCACTCCAGGCACTGCACTCCCTGACCTCAGCTCTTCCAACTTGACATCCGCATCCAAGGCTAACATTTGGGAGAGTAGGGCTGTCCAGGGTTTCTGCAGCCTCAGTTCACTCCATAATGGCTCAGGCTCCTTCCACGACGTTCTTGGGGGCAGAAGGAGGGGGAGGCAGATCTTCGTGGAAAAGACTGACCCTCTCTGAACTTCCCTCCCTAGGTCTTACGGTGGCTATGCAGCTCCCCCTTCACCTTCTCTCAGGTTCTCCCCAGACAAAAGGTTAGATTCCTTTTAGCCAGAAAGAGTGGTGGGAGGCTGCCAATTGGGTACACCTGGGGGCCTGCCGGGGCTGGAGTGCCCAGAGCCTCCTGAGGTCAGAGTTCAGAGGTTAAAGGTATGTCAGGGAATGGAAAAGGAGCAGATGACCCCATTTGACCTTTACCAGTGAGGTCTGAGGGTCCTGCCTTCAAGTGCAGAGACAAGACATTCAGATGGGGCTGGACATACACCAAGCTACAGGGGCCCTTGAGGGGCAGGGACTGGAAGGGGTGGCCCCTGTTCAGCCCCCAGGGGACCCATCTAGGGAAGAAGCAATGCCAGGGTTGAGGTGGGAGGGGCCAGTCATGGAACAGAGAAGGGAGGCGGGGTGGGGAGAGAGCTTGGATGGGGTGGGAGCAGCCCACCCACCACCATCTGCTGCCACTGGCCTTCAGAGGCAAAGTCCACGTGGTAGGAGTGGGCGGGCAGCGATGGGGGTCAGACCTTGTCCAGCAGGGACCGCTGGCAATAGAGCAGTCGCTTGGGGGTCCCGTGGCGTCTGAAGAAGAAGACTGCGAGGCCCACCGCCAGCACCAGCACCAGCAGCAGCACAGGCAGCACCACAGCGGCTGCGCTCACTGCCCCGCTGCCTTCCTCGTCCACCTCGATGATGATCACCTCCGTTTCCTCCTCAGTCCCCCCATCTGGCCGGCCCTCCGAAGGGCAGCCCATCCAGTCCCGCAGGGCTGACTTGGGGTAGCCTGGCTCTACTTTCAGCTTCTGGTTGTTGAATTTCCAGTATCTGTTCCCCTTGTAGAAGTATGTGAAGACTGCAGGCGGCAGCAAGAAGGTGGCAGAGAAGACACAGGCGGGGCAGCATCCAGGAGACCCAGAGAGAAGAGCAGAAAGAAAATCTGTCAGTGTGTGGCTGGCTGAGTTAACTCTCCTAACAGCGTTTCCTCAGCTGTAAACGGGGTAATTCTAGTACCAGGCTGGAGGAGTGGTGGGGTCTACGGGGTCTGACACATGGAAAGCACTAGCCCAGTGACTGACCCATGGGAAAGGCTCCACCTTATTATCATTGTCATTATTTTCCCACAATACTCTCCATCTTTCTTCTTCCTCTCAACTATTTGTTCCAATCCCTCACAGACACTTCCCAGGCCCTTCTCACCTTCATCACTGCCCATGAATGACCCTCTGGGAGACTCAGGAATTCCTTCCCAGATCTTGATGTTTTGGGGGTAGTCGTTCTCCACCATCCTGAGCTCCTCGTTGAAACGGTAGTACCTGGTGGAGAGGAGAGGAGGAAGTGGTTGGACACTGGGCACTTCCTCCGAGGGTAGCAGGACCCGGGACTGAAGTCACCAGTAAGGTAAGGACAGCTGTGCACAGGGGTTTTGAGTAATGAGGGCCTGCAGCTGAGAGCAGCGGAAGGTGGGAGGGAGGGCCCAGGCTGTAAGGAGCCACCAGCAGCCCTTAATGACAGTGCTAGGCTGCTGGAGCGGAGGCACCGTGCCGGGGCAGGAGGCGTCAAATGACCAGGTCTGAAATGGTGACCCGGTCACATCCCACTCACTCAGCACCCAATGGAGGCTGCTCATTGCTAGGCAACAACAGAGGCTCAGCCAACTCCTTCTCCAGGGAAACAACCCAGGCATAAAGTGGGTCTTCCTCCAGAATTGAGGGACTCTGGTAGCTGAGGAGGCAGGCCTGGGGTCAAGGGGTTAAGGCAGCCGTGGGCAAACTACGGCCCGCGGGCCGGATCCGGCCCGTTTGAAATGAATAAAACTAAAAAAAAAAAAAGACCGTACCCTTTTATGTAATGATGTTTACTTTGAATTTATATTAGTTCACACAAACACTCCATCCATGCTTTTGTTCCGGCCCTCCGGTCCAGTTTAAGCACCCATTGTGGCCCTCGAGTCCAAAAGTTTGCCCACCCCTGGGTTAAGGTCTTACTTGTTTCCCCGGAAGAAGTAGGTCTTTCCATTGGGTATCCAAAAGATGGCGGCGTCAATCCTATCAGTAGGCAGGCCTCGGCCCAGCTCCTTAATGTGCTTGGGGTAGCCAGGCTCCAGGGACGCTTCGTCAAACACCCAGTGCCTATCTCCTGGGGAGACAGAAGGGCAGGATGGAGGGTCCACTTGGGTTCTAGGGTCTATGGAGGAGTCAGGTGGAATCTGCTCATCCAGGGAGACTCCCCAGACCCAAAGACTAAGGCCTGGTTACCTTTGAAGAAGACAAATTTGCCATCCTTCCTCTCGTAGGCAGTGTTGATGGATGCAGGCAGGCCCCGCCAGAACTGGCCGATGGGCATTGGGTAGCCATCCATCACTTGGTTATTCCTCACCCGCCAGAACCAGCGCTCCTGGGAGGCAGTCGACGTAAGAGTACATTATGTCTTGTCACTTAGTCCTCAGATTCAGTTCCCGAAGCTCCCCCACTGCCTCCGTTTTCGTTTTTAGTCCTCATGCTGCTGTTTCCACCCTGCCTCCCGGGCATGGAGCCCTTTTGTCCTCCAAACCAGCCCACTTCTTCCTCTCACCTTGAAGACAAACATCTCCCCTCGAAGCACAGCCACAGTGTCAAAGTTCCCGTCACAGATGTTGGGCCCATATGTGGGGTTTTTGGGCTTATCAGGGATAGAGGGCCTGGAGGTGGTCCTGGGTTGAGGGGGCATCTTGGTGGGGCCTGACTTACTCCCTGGGGCAGAGAACATGGGAGCACTTCAGACTTGGTGGCAGAGGGAGAGGAAAGGACGGGCATATGGGCAGACAATGCCCTTGGAAAGGGTAGAGAGAGGCTGAAGCAATCAGCTAGGAAAGAACCGAAGAGGTGGACTCAAAAGTGGGAGCAGATAGAGGCAGAGTCAGGAGGGGGATGTGGGGCGACGGGAAGAAACAGGAAGGCCAAGAAGACACAGGCAAGGAGCAGAGAGAGGAGCAGATGCGGGCATGGACTACTTGCCATAAAGTTGCTGGATGCCCCGGCGGTCATCATCGGGCAGCACAAAGTTCTCTGTGTCCATCCACTGGTAAAAGGGCGCCATGATGGCCGAGGGATCACTGGAATGCTCGAGGCCCAGGGCGTGGCCCAGCTCATGCACGGCCACCAGAAAGATGTCATTACCTGGAGGGAGGAGAGAGACTATGATGGAGGCCGGGATCTCTTCCCTCAGGCTCCCAGCTTTCCCATCAGAGGCTTTAGTTTCACACCCAAGCCTGCCTGCTGTTTTCCACTCAGAAAAGCCACCAAACCACCATGCTCTTCTGGGAGGAGGTGAGCGTGCTCTGGGACTAGACCCCAAGCCCAGGAGACTGTGTTGAGGGAAGCGGAGGGCTCTCCCTGGGCCTCTTTCTCCCAGGATGAACTTGTCTGGATAAGCGGGTGATGGGGAGGCTTTGAAGCCTTTGAGGAGTCAGTTATTGGGCGAGAGAAGGAACCACATATAAATAGTTTAAAACTGGATTCCTGCTTTGTTGGAGATCTTTGTGGTCCCTGGTAGCCCTGAGATCTGGGGGTATGAGGTTTTGGGAGGAGGCAGGAGAACCCTGTACAAATGATCTTTGACTCTCCCCAGGGCTCACCATTCAGATCCTGATTTTCGACAGTCCAGGGCTCAGCAGAGTCAAAGTGGGTGTCGCCTCCGATGTGGGGACCTGGGAAGTAGGCGTGTGCGAGGAAGCCACCCTCGCCATCGAAGGGTGTGCTGTCGCCATGGAAGCCCTCAGCAAACATGATCATGATGTCGGCATGCTCATGGCCATTCTCGATGTAGGAATAGGGTATCTCTCGGAAACGCAGCGGTGTGTGACTCTCCCACACGCGGAAGGCCTTGCGGATGGCCTCATAGGTGCGATACTCGCCTACCTTGGGGGTATAATTCTGGATGCTGAGGTCCAGCCACGTGGGGAGAGGATTAGAGTATGTTAGGATCACAAGGGACAAAACTCTCCTTCCCTATACTCTCCCAAGTCTGACTGAACTGCTCAGCCACCTTTGCCACCTCCAGATGCCTTTGCCTCAAGTACTGAGAGCTCAGGGACCCTCAGGCTTTGGCTTTCTGGTCCTGGGGCGTACCCCTTTTCCCTTACAGGCGGTATCTCTCTCGGGGTTACAGCCATTACCCTCCCACTCCCAAGGATGCATCCCAAGGAAGAGGTGAGTATGGCAAGATGCCTCTGAGTCTCTGTAAGCACAACTGATAGGGAAGGGTAACCTGATGTGAGTAAGGCCACTTGCCTGTTAGACTCACCAGAAAGTAATCTCGTTATGCTGCCATTTGGGGCCCTGGATGGCATAGCGCTTCCTTCGAACGTTGGCCTTGATCTCAGCCCCAAACTTGTCTGGAACACCACAGCGGGGGCGCTTCATGGCCCTGAGGTAGTTGAAGTGTGAAGACGGGTCAGTATAGTGTAAGAAAGAGGAAGGTCTTTGGAGGACAGGGGGACTCTCTGGGCCCAGGGTCAGTGTGAGGAAGGTTAGGGTAAATAAAAAGGCTCAGGATCAGCATGTGGCGATGAGGTACAGGGACACGCGTCAGGCATTCACGGAGCAGCTTCTATGGTGCTCAGTGTTTTGTCAGTGTGTGCTGGGCAGAATCCCTGCCAGGGTCCAGCACTTACTTCATGGTGTCTGTATCCATCTTGCCCGTCACTCGCAGACCGTAGAACCTCTGCATGGCAGCGATGGCAGCTGAGAGTGACTGAGGTAAGCGCTGCGTGTGGGTACGCAGGTCCCCAGGGGGCAGGTAGCCATATTGCTGCAGCCAGGCCTGGAGGGAAAGGGATGAGGCTTAGAGCAGCCCCACCTGGCCCCAGGGAAGCCTCCGCCTCCTCACGTTACCTGGCATGCACCCTCCACTTGCTGAGGAAAGGGCAATGAGCCTCCAGCCGGGCTCTGGCAGTGGGTCTGGAGGAACTCCAGGGCTGGACCTGAATTCTGGCCCCGGCCCCAGTATGCCTTGTCCTCTTGGAGCCTCAGCTCTGGACTTTGGCTACAGCTGTCTTCATGGGAATGAGTTTAACTGAGTTCTCAGATGTCTTCTCAGGGTAGAGAGGGGAGAGGCTGAGGCCCTCCTGGGAGGGGGATGCCAAGCCTCCAGGAACCTCAGAGCTGAGATTTTTTTAGAGAAAGGAGGGCAGAAAAGGAGCTAGGGCTGAGGTTGGCTGCTGATAGGGGAAGTTGGGGCTTCTGCAGGTGGTGAGAAGTGTGATGCAGCCAGAGCCAGGATCCTGCCACTGTTTCCATCCAAACGGCATCTGACCTAGGGCCTGGGACCTGCACTGTCCATTTAAGGATCGCAGTAGAGGGTGTGGGAGCTGGGAGTGAGGTGGATAGTCGGTGACGGTATTTTTTTTATTTTAGGTACGTTGTGAATGGTGTAATATAATGCTGACATGTAAAAGCAGGGGTGGGGAACATTTTTCTGCCAAGGGCCATTTGAATACTTATAACGTCATTCTCGGGCCATACAAAATTATCAACTTAAAAATTAGCCTGCTATATTTGGCCAAACATTTAATTATCTCACCCCTAATGCCCTGGCAGGGCCAGACCAAATGAATCCACAGGCTTTTATAATCTAAAGTTAGGTTTTTGGTGTTTGATTGAAAGGACAGCCCTAGCTGGTTTTGCTCAGTGGATAGAGCATCGCCTTGGACTGAAATGTCCTGGGTTCGATTCTGATTCTGGGCCTTAATCCCTGGTCCCCGCATTTGGGAGGCAACCAATTAATGTGTCTCTCTCACATGGATGTTTCTCTCTGTCTCTCCCACTCCCTTCCACTCTCTCTTAAAAAACAAAACAAAAAAAAAACAACCCAAAAAACAAAACAAAAAAAAAATGGAAAAAAATCCTTGGGTGGGGATTAACAAAACAAAACAAACCTGTAAAACCTCATTGAGAAAAAAAAAAATCAACCTTTATTGTAACAGCAATGGAATATTTTCCTAAAGCCTGAAAAGTAAAATGAGCCAAATTATATATGGGATATGAAAATACTTGGATTTTCCTACAGGGAGACGCTACCCCGACAGCTGGTCCCTGATCCAGTGTTGCTTTCCTAAGCAGTCCAGAGGGGCTGCACGTTGCCTGGGATGGGAGCTTGAGGTGCAGAGGGGTTGAGGCTACTGGTGTTAGGTGCTGTGCCCTCCATCCTAGGTTATTAGGATAAATCTCCATGTGGCCCTTCACCTCTAGGCACACGCCCCAGTGATGAAACAGTACTCTTGCATAGGGGCTAGAGGTGATTCAGAAGCAGCTGATTGGGAACCGGAGCCTGCATGGGCAAGAACTGCAATAATGGGTCCTGCCAGTATGGCTCAATGGTTGAGCATCGACCTATGAACCAGGAGATCATGGTTCAATTCCAGGTCAGGGCACATGCCCAGGTTGTGGGCTCAATCCTCAGTAGGGGGTGTGCAGGAGGCATCATTGATGTTTCTATTTCTCTCCTGCTCCCTGCCTCTCTGAAACCAAAAAAAAAAAAAATAATAAAAAATAAAAAAATAAAAAAATAGAGAATTGCAACATGGTTTTGGGAAGTGATCCCCCAAGGATGATGGAGGTAGGGCCTGAGATGTAAACAACCCAGCCCTTCCCCAGCCAACAGGCCTGGCCAGAGTCACCCTAGCACCACCTGCTCCAGGGCCCCACCTCAAGGGTAGAAGGAGTGAAGTTTAACACCTGGTACACCAGAGGGGAGCAGAGAAGGGTGTTGCAGGCGTGGGCCGCTCTCCAACAGAAGAATGCTTGCCTTGACCTGTGCTGGCTGACGCTTCAGCTAGTGCCTGCAGGAAGCCTGCTGTGGCATATGCCTGAGTATTCAGGAAACTCTGTGCCCCTAGTCTCACCTGGACGGTATACACCCCAGGCTTATGACCTGGGTAGGAGTTCAGCTTTGGGGAAGGAGTAGTGACCTAAGCGGAACCGGAAGTCAGGAGGACTGAGGTCAGGCCTCCTCAACCCTCAGGAAGCAAACCTGAGGGGAATTCTAGGACAGGATGACAGAAGGGTGCGTGGCAGACAGGTGGGGAGAATCCACAGCCAAGAGCTCTGGGATAAATCCCTCTCCCTGATGAGTCTTTCAGGAAGGCAGGCAGATGAAAACATTCACACCCACAACCTCCACCCCACACCCAGGAGTTAAAAGTAGAGACTTAGGCAAAAAAGGGACATCCCTGGAGTCAAGGGAACTGCAAAGCTTGGAAAGGAGGTGCCCCTGCCCCACTCCTCCACGCCTAGGCTTTCTCCCCTCACAGGGGCCAGCTCTGAGCAAAGCAAGAACCACAGAGACTGGGGCTGGAACCACAGAAGAGAGGACTCCTGTGTCTGCGGCTGGGTGGGGGCAGGGCTGAGTGCCAGACAGGGAGGAGAGGGCTGTTCTGAAGCTGGTGCAGGACTACGGAGCCTGGTGGAAGGAACCGGCTGCCTGAGGCCTGGGCCACCCCAGCTCAGCCTGGAGAGGGAGCAACTATGTTGGGTCAGAGAACTTTATTGGTTGGCTTTGTCTTGAAAACCGAGTGGTGGAAGGTATTCCCCTAGGGCCGAGGTCGGCCAACGGGCTGTTCTGAAGCTGGTGCAGGACTACGGAGCCTGGTGGAAGGAACCGGCTGCCTGAGGCCTGGGCCACCCCAGCTCAGCCTGGAGAGGGAGCAACTATGTTGGGTCAGAGAACTTTATTGGTTGGCTTTGTCTTGAAAACCGAGTGGTGGAAGGTATTCCCCTAGGGCCGAGGTCGGCCAACTGCGGCTCTCGAGCCACATGCGGCTCTTTGGCCCCTTGAGTGTGGCTCTTCCTAAGCCTTAGGAGTACCCTAATTAAGTTAATAACAATGTACCTACCTATATAGTTTAAGTTTAAAAAATTTGGCTCAAAAGAAATCTCAATCGTTGTACTGTGGATATTTGTCTCTGTTCACTAATGAGTTTGCCGACCACTGCCCTAGGGCAGAGATTTTCAACCTTTTCCATCTCATGACACACATAAACGAATTACTAAAATTCTGTGGCACACCACAAAATATATTTTTTGCCGATACGACAAATAGGTATAATTTTCATACCTTCACACTGGACGGCTATTGTTGTGTTGGCTGTTGTCATTTGTTATTTGACAATCAAAGGGAAAAGAGGTCAATGGCCCTGACTAAATAGTCAAGTATTGCACAGAGTTTTAACATTCTTGCGGCACAGGAACAACAGTGAGCCGCAGCATGCTGCAGGCCAGCTGAAAATTGCTGCCCTAAGGGAAAGTCAAGGGAACCCATCCCACCTTTGGCCCAAGAGTAGAGGGGGTGTGGGGGGCGATCTCTGGCTCTCCAGCAGGCCCGGATGGGAGCCTCTGGGCCTGCTCCTCCCTCCCTCTGCCTCCCAACCCTCCAGAGCCCAGAAGCAAAGGGTGGTTCTGACACTGGGACTGCCCATGACCCACTTAAAGCAGAGACAGGGCTGCTGCCCCTCCCTTAGGGGGCCTAACGGGGCAGGGGCAGGGAGAAGGCAGGGCAGGCCATGATGGCAGTGGGCTGCCCCCAGATGCCCAGGCTCCTACTGTAGAGAGCTCTCCTTTTAGGCCTCAGTGCACACTTCATGCCTGGAAAGAGGACGCCTCCTCCTCCCGGCCAGTGCCAGGATTGGCCACAGGGCAGATTTTCACACTTCCTGGTCACCCCATTCCTAGGGCCACCTTTTCCTTTCAGCCTCAGAGCCCTTCAGGACAGAGAGTGTGTTCTTTCTGGAGATGGTTCCTTGGGGATGGAACCAGGGCGCCGAAGGGGTCGGAGGGAGCCAAGTCCAGATCCCCTCCCCCTTCTCGGGCACTTCCCAGCCCCTCCAGACCGCCCCAGGCACCCAGGCAGGGCCGAGTGGGTTGGGATGTCCCAAAATAAGACGCTGATCAAATCCGTCTCCCACCTTCACCCCAAAATAAAAGGGAGAGAGAGGAAAAACCTCCTCAGACAACTCCCACGCGACTTCCTCCTGGCCGGGTGGGCCAACGTCGGCGAATGGGTGGGGGGCACCGGAGTGGGTCAAGGCCTGTGTGGGCGCCCGGGGCCAGGCCCTCTCCCCATTCCCCCTGTGCGACGTTCCCAGTCTCTATGCAATTAACGCAGAAAAACAATGAACAAAAACAACAAAAAAAGGCCTAAAGGCGCGGAGGGGCGGGGGGCAGGGGAGGAGGCGGCGGCCCCGGCGAGCCCCCGCTCACAAGGAGAGCTTTGTGTGGACGGAAGGGCGGCCAGGGCGCCAGCGCCGGGACCCTCGACGCCAGGGCTCGGGGGCCGGGACCCAGAGATCCGCTCGGGAGGCGGGGGCGGGTGGGGGCCGGGGCCGCTCCGCCGTCCACCCGCGGCCCCACCTGGGCGCTGATGCGCGGGTGGAGGGCGCGCCAGCGGGCAGCGGGGAGCGGGGAGCGGGCAGCGGCCGCAGCGTGGGGGGCCGGGGCCACGGTCCTCCCGGGCCCTCCTGGCCTCCCCGGCGCCGGTCAGCGCGGGCGGGCGGGCGGGCGGGCTGGAAAGTTGCAGAAACTGCAAACTCTCGCACATGACAAGAAACCAAGACAGCGCGGGATCTGAGCGGAGTCCAAATAGGTCTCAGGCTCCCAACCGGTTCCAGAGCTGAGCGCGGAGCGCAGAGTGCAGAGCGCAGAGCGGGGACTGGGGCGGTGGGGTCCGGGGCGGTGGGGTCCGGGGCGGTGGGGTCCGGGGCGGTGGGGTCCGGGGCGGTGGGCGAGGGTCTGACCGGCTGTGAAGCTCTTCCCAGGAAAGCAGTGGGAAGGAAGGCGGCGGCGGGGGTGGGGGAGGTGGCAAAAGTTGGATCGCCAGGGAAGTTTGGAGATGAGGAGGGGAAGGGAAAGGAGGGGGTCCTGCAGGCCGGAGCCAACGAGACCTGGAGAGCCCTCCTCCCCGAAGGGGGCTGTCCCCCGGGAGACCCCGGGCTCGCCTCCGCCGCCGCGCGGCTCCGGGCCGGGCCGGGCCGGCGGAGCTCACTTACTTCGGGGCTGAAGCTGCTTTGGGCCGAGCTGAGGGGGGCGAGCGCGGCGGCGAGCGCGAGCAGAGGGAGCAGCGGGCTGCGGGCGGGCCGTGCGGCGGGAGACATGGTCCGTGGCCGTCCGGGCAGACCGGCGTGCGGCTCCGCGGCGGGGCCCAGCCTGGGGGTCGCGCCGCCCCTCCCTCGGACGCCTTTGTCTCCCGGAGGCACGGAGCTGGGATTCTTGGAGAGCTGTCCGCTGGGAGAGGAGGCGCTGGATCCCGAGCGCGCCTGTCTGCTCGTCGCCTCCCCTCCGTTCTCTGGTCTTTCTTCTGCTTAGTCGGCGAACTAGATGGCGAGCCCTCTCTTGCTCTCTCCTCTGGTCCCTCCCTTTATCCCACAGCCTCTCCTCCCGCCCACGCCCCAATGCCCTCCTTTCCCGGTGCGGACGTGGTTGTTTCAGTCTGAATCCAATTACAGCCAAGAGCCCGGTAAAAAAAAAAACCAAAAAAAGGAAAAACCAAACCTAAGTTGACTTTCTGTGGTAAAGGCTGCCATCTCCAGGGGTTGAGGCCATAGCCGAGAGCAAGAAACTGTGAGTGTGGTGTGTGTGTGTGTGTGTGTGTGTGTGGGGGAGGGGGTCCAAGGGGACGGGATGTGGGAGACTTTCCCCCCCCAGGCATATTTTGGATGGCTCGATTCCTCTGGTATTCAGCGTTTGCCTCACCTCAGATGGGAAGTACTGGGAGGCTCATGGGAAGTACTGGGAGCTCAGTGGCTGGGGCAAACAAGTTCAGAGTCTGGGACGTGGTGGGGGGTCTTCCATGTCCTGAGACTTGGGTTAGGGGATTGTCTGTTGGGACCTGTGACTAAACCAAATTGAATCTTTGTCTCTTATTCTTGACAACCACCTCTGTCCCTGTTGCAAACAAACAAACAAACAAAAACAATATCAGCCCTAGCCAGTTTGGCTCAGTGGATAGAGCATAGGCTTGTGGACTGATGGGTCCTGAGTTTGATTCTGGCCAAGGGCACGTGCCTGGGTTGCCAGCTCGATCCTCAGAGCAGGGTGTGCAGGAGGCAGCTGATCAATGATTCTCTCTCATCATTGATGTTTCTCTCTCTCTCCCTCTCTGAAATCAATAGAAAAAAACCCAACCAACCAAACAAACAAAAACACACACACAACAATATCAAAACCCAACTACCCATCAACAAACCCCACAACCACACTGGATGGGGGGGAGGGTCCTATCCTTGTAGAAAAACAAATGTGCTTCCTTTACTATGCCACTTGCAATCTGACCCTTAAATTAGAACTGGTTGGGGGAGGAGAGGGGTGCAAGGCCATGGACTCTGGGTAAAGGCAAATCAAGTTTGGTGCAATTGTTAGAAGGGCGATTGGAAGTTGGAACTTAAGGATTTAATTCCTTACCCTGGAAAATGAGGCAGTTCCTTCAAGGGTAAAATCTCCTTTAAGGACAGACTAATCTCTGAGAACAAAAGGTGGAGGTATGCAGGGAAGGGGGAGGGCAGGCTAAAGCTGAGAAAGGGAGACAGATAAGAGGTTGAGAACTAGATCTGGAAAGGCAGAACAACAAGCAGGAAAAGTGTGGGAGACAGAAAACTCAACCATCAGCGAAATCTAAGACCCAAGAATTACATTGGTCAGAGAGAGGGGAAGGGAAGGAGGTATTGGGGGATAGAAGGGAGGGAAAGAAAGCAAGGGAAGGAATAACTGGGAGGCTGGACAGAAATTAGGTCTGGTAAGAAACTCCAGAAATCCTAGAGATCCAGGAACTAACACAAGTTTGTGACATGAAAATGGGAAAAAAAGTCCAGTGTTCTATATTGGAATGAGAGCAAACGTTTTTCCACACAGAATCCACGGGCAATAAAATGAAAGTTTTGCCCAGCCAGTGTGGCTCAGTTGATTGAGTTGTCCCTTGCACCAAGAAGTGGTCCCGCGTTTGATTCCCTTCAGAGCACATGCCTGGGTTTCAGGCTTGATCCCCAATAGGGGGCGTACAGGAGGCAGCCCATTGATGCTCCTCTCTCTAAAAGGTTTCCTGGGCCTTGGGGGGCAGCTAACAGGGTTGTGGGAGGTATATGGGATATCCCTAACCCACAAAGCTGTTTTTGGGGTTGAGTATCTCCAGGGCCCCATACGTAAATTGGGGCCAGGAGGACAGTCCTCTCTCCAATTTCTAGGATTCGATCAGAACCAGGGAAACCTCAAGATCCAAATCTTTAGAACATGCAACACCCAAGTCTGGTTCTTCCCATGTCAGCCTTCCCAGTGTCGGTATCCTCTTGGGCCATGTACCTGGTTTAGAAAAACTGACATCAGTTGCTAGCCAAGAAATGGACCTCAGCTGGAAAGTCTTTTTCATTGAAACATTTATTAAATGTGTAACTCTATGCAGACTGAGCTGTGTATAGATTTTTCAAAGCTTGAATGGTGGCTAAGACCAAGTAAACCGCGGCCCCCTTTTCATGTTGGCAGAGAAGTAACTGCTCAAAGTTGGGCCAGTCCTAAGACCTGCAAAGGAGAGGGTAAATATCCCAGAGCAAGATACCCCTGAACTGGAAGGGAGCCAGGGGTGAGGGCCTGTAGCCGGTCCTTCCAGGCAGTGCTCTTACAGCCTGTTCTTCCTGGGGCCCAAACTCTTTTGCTCTGAAGATGGATGGGGAACAACAACAACAAATGCTGGGAAAAAGAGATGAGTTGCTTTTTATTAACGTGGTAGTGGGCTCTTCAGAGCAGCCCCTTTAGGTTTAAGAGCATTTTTCTTCTTCTGTTCTTCTTCCTGCAACTTCTCCTGCTGCCTGAGCTGCCATGCCTGTAATCCAGCATCCATTTCCTGTGACAGCAGTACAACTCGTCTCTGAAACAGACAGGAAAACAGTGTGAAGAACATCTGGGGCTTGAGCTCTGCACCATATATCCTTTCATTCACAGATCAAAGTCAGAGGTTTCAGCTGGAAAATGACACTGCTGACTGGGAAAGGGGTGGGGCCAGGTCCTGGGATGGGAAGTGGGGAAGACAGTAAAATGTGTGGCAGAATGTCTACAACTGGTTCCTGCCCTAGGAGTACCCCCTCTATTCCTTCCTTCTCACAGTACTGTTAAAACAGTGTGAGGGGTACATGTTAGCTTAGGTGTCAACACAGCTCAAGACAAATTACAGTTTAAACTTTGTCCCTCAGATTACATGCAGGTTGCCCTGGATGGGGCTCTAGCAACTCACTGCAAATTTTTCTCTTTGGGCTTGTCTTCGAAGCTGGCCTTTCATCGGAGGAGCAGGGCGGCCATCTGGAGATAGAAGTGAGAGAAAAGGCAAATGTTAGGGATGGCGTGTAGCACCTTGCGAAAGCAGACAGAAATGAGGGAAAAACCAGTTTCTAGCTCCTCACTTCCATTTCACACCCACTGTAAAATTTCCCTAAAACAAGTTCCTCATCTTCAAGGGTGAAGTATGCCAGAACCACCAAGAATAAGCTCCTGGGCATGTTCCTATTGTATTTCACTCACCCCTCATCAGCCTGGAGTTCAAGGTTCCTTGCAATGCTGAATCACCTGTTTTATCTTCATAAAGCCCCCATTCAAGCAAACTGATCACTATTCTACTCACCTCAAATCTTTGCTAAGTTCCATCTAACTCCATAACAAACACCTCTTGCCTTTCCTTCTAGCCAAATTCTCACCCTTAGGCCCACCTGAACCCCGATCTGTCCCAGAAACCCTTCTCTAACCTCTTAAAACTCTCTTCTGAAAGACGTGCATATTACAATTTACAATAGCTAAGATTTGGAAACAGCCTAAGTGCCCATCAGCAAAGAAATGGATTAAAAAACTGTGATACATCTACAGAATGGAATACTACGCTGCTGTAAAAAAGAAGGAACTCTTACCATTTGCAAGAGCATGGATGGAACTGGAGAGCATTATGCTAGGCGAAATAAGCCAGTCGGAGAACGGTAAATATCACATGATCTCACTCATTTGTGGAATATAATGAACAACATAAACTAATGAACCAAAAGATCCAGAGACAGAGAAGCACTGAACTGTCAAACCTCAGAGGGAAGGTGGGGTTAGAAGATCAAACAAAGGACTTGTATGCATGTATATAAGCATAACCAATGGACACAGACACTAGGGGGGGTGAGGGAATGTGCTGGGGGGTGGGAGTGACTGGGGAGAGGTAAATGGGAGAAAAAATAATATTTTAATAGTAATAGCTATGTACGGGTTGGGGGGGTACTTGAAATATCAGGGGGACCACTCTATAAAGGAAAATTGTGTATGTTTCTCATCACAATAAAAAAGAAAAAAAAGAAGTGTATGTCACTCATTTAATATTCATCTATTTGCCTTGGGACAGTTATTGTACTATTGTTTTTAACCTTATTTAGCCATCTCAAATCGTTTTGGAAAGGAGCAGAGCACTAAAGTGTTATCATTTAATTTTTAAAATGTCCATGCTTTGTTTTCCCAGCTAGACTTTAAGTTCCTTGGGGATCAGGGACCGTATTGCTAAGCTTTCACTATAGTGTAGACACATAATAAAAATTTCATAAATATCTGCAGACTTGCTATAAACTATCTCAAATGGTTTATAATGGAGTTAGTAAGAAAGGGCATTTTCAACAAAGAAATAAACAGAGTGAACTCTCTGCCCAAACATTTGAAGACAAGACAGGAAAGAGATATTATTTATCAGTAAAGGGAACCAATGTTGTGTATGCCAGGTGTTTACATTGGTCATTTCATTTTATCCTTCCAAGAACCATATGAGATAGGTATTTTTTACAGATGTGGAAACTGAGAGATACAATTAAGTAACTTGACCAAGACCCACAATGTTAGCAAGTAGAGAAGCCTGGATTAAGAATCAATTCCAGCTGAAGCCGGTTTAGCTCAGTGGATAGAGCGTCAGTCTGTGGACTGAGGGGTCCCAGGTTCGATTCCGGTCAAGGGCATGTACCTGGGTTGCGGGCACATCCCCAGTGGGAGATGTGCAGGAGGCAGCTGATCGATGTTTCTCTCTCATTGATGTTTCTAGCTCTCTGTCTCTCTCCCTTCCTCTCTGTAAAGAATCAATAAAATATATTAAAAAAAAAAAAAAAAAAGAATCAATTTCAGTGTGGCTCAGTGGATACAGCATCGGCCCCCGTAGACTGAAAGTTCCTGGGTTTGATTCTGATTCCGATTCCGGTGAAGGGAACGTACCTTGGTTGTAGGCTCAATCCCCAGCCCTGGTTGGGTATGTCCAGGAGGCAACCAATCAATGTATCTCTCTTACATAGATGTTTCTCTCTATCTCTCCCCTTCCCTTTCACTATCTCTAAAAAATCAATGGAAAAATATGC